GTGTATGTGGCTGGTGCCTTAGCCGCTTAAGTCACAGGCACCGAGCCTAGAAAAACATTCTTTTGTAGCCCCATGAATGTTTTTGTTTGTTTGTTTGTTTGTTTGAGACAGTCTCACTTTGTCGCCCTCAGTAGAGTGCCATGGCATCATAGCTCACAGAAATCTTAAACTCTTGGGCTCAAGAGATTCTCTTTACTCAGCCCCCCAAGTAGCTGGGACTACAGGTGCCTGCCATAACACCCTGCTATTTTTAGAGATAAGGTCTCTCTCTGGCTCAGGCTGGTCTCCAACCTGTGAGCTCAGGCAATCCACCCACCTTGGTCTTCCAGAGTGCTAGGATTACAGGCGTGAGCCACCAGTCTGACCTCCCATACATGGTTAATCCCAGATGGAAACCTAGAAGAATCAGTAGTCAGCTCCAGCTAGAGTGAGGCTGATCCTAGGGCTTCACGTTAGAGATTTACTATTATTAATATGTGTATAGACAGATTTTGTTTTTACCATGAGTGAGCACTACTCTAAATCCAGAACATAAACATTATCCATTGAAAAGAGCCAGGTGCAGTGGCTCATACCTGTAATCCCAGTGCTTTGGGAGGCTGAGGCAAGAGGATCAGTTGAGGCCAGGAGTTTGAGATCAGCCTGGGCAACCTAGCAAGACACTATCTCTATAAAAATTTTAAATTGTTTTTAAAAAGTCCAAGCCTGGCTTGGCACCTGTAGCTCAAGCAGCTAAGGTGCCAGCCACGTATACCAGAGCTGACAGGTTCGAATCCAGCCCAGGCCTGCCAAACAACAATGACAACTACTATAACCAAAAAATAGCCAGGTGTTGTGGCAGGCACCTGTGGTCCCAGCTACTGAGGCAAGAGAATTGCTTAAGCCCAGGAGTTGGAGGTTGTTGTGAGCTGTGACACCATAGCACTCTAGCCAAGGCGACAGCTTAAGGCTCGTCTCAAAAAAAAAAAAAGGTCCAAGCCATCAGATGATGTCAGTGCCACTGACCTTACTCTGGCCACGGAGCAGGGTCTTGTGTCGTGGGGACAGCCATGTGACTGACTGGGTCTGTCTTTCCCTGTAGCAATTCTTGTCCTGCTCTGCTTTGGAGCCTTCCTGGTCTGGAAGAATTGGAGGCTGAAGAGCATCAATAGCATCAACTTCGACAACCCTGTGTACCAGAAGACCACGGAGGACGAGGTGCACATCTGCCGCAGCCAGGACGGCTACGCCTACCCCTCGGTGAGAGCTTCCCTAGGTGCCCTGCCCACCTCAAGGCTTGAGTCAAATCCTGAACAGCTGAGGATCCACTGGGTAGATGCTTCTGGGTGCTCTCACAGAATGTCAGCGGACATTCTCCTAGTGGGGGATGAAGGACATCAGATAAGCATAGATCAGATCAGATGGAGATGGGACAAAGGGAAGTCAGAAGGATTTCAGAGAAGGATCTGTGGGTGCTGGAAGGGAATTTCATTTTAGATAAGGTGGTAGGGGTAGGCTTCTCAGCCTGGGTCACATGGTTTCTTTTCTACTTTTTCTTTTTGTTTGAGACAGACTTTCACTATGTCGCCCTTGGTAGAGTGCCAAACTCTTGGGCTTAAGTGATTCTCTTGCCTCAGACTCCTGAGTAGCTGGGACCACAGGTGCCCACCGCAATGCCGGCTATTTTTGATTGCAGTTGTCATTGTTGTTTTAGCAGGTCTGGGCCAGGCTTGAACCCAGCAGCCTTGGTGTATGTGGCTGGCACCCTATTCACTGAGCTCCGGGTGTTGAGCCTCTTTTACTTTTTTTTTCTTTGTTTTTTTTGAGACAGTTTCAATTTGTCACCCTTGGTAGAGTGCTCTGGCATCATAGCTCATAGCAACATCAAACTCTTGGGCTCAAGATTCTCTTGCCTCAGTCTCCTGAGTAGCTGGGACTACAGGCGCCGGCCACAACACCCAGCTATTTCTTTTTTTTTTTATTTTTTTATTTTTTTTATTTTTTTTATTTTTTGAGACAGAGCCTCAAGCTGTCCCCCTGGGCAGAGTGCCGTGGCATTACAGCTCACAGCAACCTCCATCTCCTGGGCTCAA